TCCTGTGATCCGTACTTGGATGCATTCAGATCATATAGCCTTCCAGGCATATATCCTGGATATAACAGGACAATTAATCATAAGTAGGATCATTATAGTATAGACCACACAATGGGAAATAACCTGGAAGACGTAGTACATGGCTATTGGTCTCTTGGCATAATAACTAGACAACCAACGGAACTATTACCAAACTAGAAAACGGCCTGAGGTGGGATAATTGAAAACTCACCTTGGGGAGCAACAGATTGGGAAGGAGGAGGAAGCCAGACATGAGTGATTCCGACAGCAGCAATGTCGGGAACAGAGTTCTTGAGTGAATTGTACCATCCTCCGGGTTTGTTGCTAGATTCCCAATTGAATCCCTACAATAACAGGGAGTTTATCAGAACATCAAATTCTGTTTCAAGCATAATTAAAGGGGTGTGTTTTGTGCTTAATTAAAAGAGAAAAAGCTCACCTGAAATAACAAGGTAGGGGACGTGAAAGAGGGGAGGACAGAGAGGGAGAGAAAAATAAAACCGCAGAATGAAGTTAGAAAGCTCATTTTTCTTTGCTTCTCGTGTGGAGTTGGATGCTTAGCAGCAGATGCTCCTGGTCTTTATATAGGCGCCGTGGGGCACTCGGAAAGTATGTAAATGGAAGTTTTCTGGCGTATTTTTTGCACTGTGTCCTTTTGAAATGATTTTAATGTAATTATTTCATTAGTTTTGTAGTCATCACAACTTGATTGCTTTCACATTTGGAATTCTCTGTCCCTATATCCCCATTCCCACGTTCCATTTTAGAAGTCCTGTTTTCCAACTTTAGAGGATGATATAGCTGTAAACAGTTTTGTTTAAATCATTACATAAAAGTATTTGGTAATACTTTTCTCTCATAATTTGTTAATACTGAATTTCAACTATTATATCAAATGGTCCTACATCTATTTAAATGATTTAAGAATTTTATCAAATAATTAATTAAAATACATTTATCCCTAATAAAAGTTTTATTATCTTTATAAATCTTAACTAATTATATATTATATAATAATAATAGGTATTAAAATTGTTAAAATCAATAAATCTGGAATAAATACTCAATAACCTAAAATAACTTTCAGTGTATTTTGAACAATAACATAGGTTTATGTCTATTATTATGTCATTTTAAAATTTTCAATAAATACTAAATAAATACTTATTAAAATCTTCAATAAATACTTAATGG